CGTTCCTCTGCCTCTTCGAAATCCTGCCTGTACTTCTGGAGGTTCTCGATCCACATACTGCTGGAGTCTAGCTTGTAGGATTTTAAGCATAATTTTATTTGCATGTGAAATGAGTGCAATGGTGTGATAGTTTGAACATTCTTTGCATTGCCTTTCTTTGGAATTGGAATGTAAACTGACCTTTTCCAATCCTGTGGCCACTGTTGAGTTTTCCAAATTTGCTGGCAAATTGAGTATAGCACTTTTACTGTATTGTCTTTTAAGATTTTGAATAGCTCAGCTGAAATATTGTCACCTCCACTAGCTTTGTTGTTGCTAATGATCATATAGCATATATTTATTCGTTCCATGTGAAACAGCATGAATTGTTGTCATAAAGCAAGGAGAAAAATTAGTCTGTTCTTCAAATTGTATCTCAATGTATAACATGGTTTAGAATGGATATACACACATATTATTAATAATAATTTTGAGGAATATATGCTTGACTCACCAAAAGTTTAGGAGTTGAAAATTTTATTCTCTTCTTTAGGGCAGAATGAAAGTTTTAAGAAAAGTGAGACTATCATATATTTTGAGAACAAGATACTAAAGCATTTCTGCTTTGTTTCCAGATGGATACACAACAGATGACATAGAATTTTATTGGAGAGGTGGAGACAATGCAGTTTCTGGAGTAGAAAGAATTGAGCTTCCTCAATTTTCTATTGTGGAATATAAACTTGTGTCCAAAAATGTTGTCTTTGCCACAGGCATGTATTTCCTAATTGTTGAATTTCTATTATTCCTAGTTCTCTAATGCATGTCTATCTATTTTATCTTTATATAAAAGGTAATTAAAATAGGGATAGTGCTAGTTCATTCTTTCTTTATAAATATTTGGTGTTACCAGGTCTGAAATGTTAAAACTGATTAGTTTATTTGATGATTTTTAAGTAAAGAAAACAATATTTGTATCTGAAACTACATATAGGTAGTCCTTAACTTACAACAGTTCATTTATTGATCGTTCAAAGTTACAACGGCACTGAAAAAAGTGACTTATGTCCATTTTTCACAGTTACGTTTGCAGCATTCCCATGATCAAAATTTAGATGATTGGCAACATGTTCATATTTATGACTTTTGCTGTTTCCAAAGGTCATGTGATTCCCTTTGGTGACCTTCTGACAAGCAAAATCAATGGGGAAGCCAGATTCACTTAACAACCGGGTTACAAACTTATCAACTGCAGTGATTCACTTAACAACTGAGACAAGAAAGGTCATAAAATGGGGCAAAACTCACTTAAAATGTCTCACTTAACAACAGAAATTTTGGGCACAGTTATGGTCATAAGTCGATTACTACCTGAATAATGAGACTTAGAAAACTGGTTGGGTCAGGTTTTCCAATCTAATAAAATATTTTTAATAGGAAATTCTAAAAAATAAACACATGAATAGAAATATGTGTTCTAATTAAGTAATAGATTATACAAGGCAGTCAATTGGCAGTATGGGTGATAAAATTGAGGATTATAATTTATGTTGAAAAGAGAGCAGAAAGTCAAGAACAGCTTTCCAGTACAAGTTATTTGTCCTGAGACAAGCTATCATTCAAATTATTCATAATTAAAACAGTTTGAGAAATGCAACTATAGTATTTATTATGCTAATTGAAAATATTAATATTTTATTATACTGTATTATACTAATACCAATAATAATAGTGCTAATAATAGTCAGTGGCACATAATCAATCAAATATAATTTACTGAGTTAAAATATTTAATACTAATATTTGTGTTTTGACAATAGCTACATTAAAAAAATTTCTGCACAAAATTTCAAATTATGGGCTACCCTATGCTTGTTTTGGGTAGTAATAGGTTCCACTAATACACACTAATTTTGCAATATGTTTAGTATATTTTATTCATTATACTTTAAATATCAGGCAAGTAATTTAAATGAATGATTTTTAGATAGAAGGTAAAAGTATTCCAGCTTATTATTATTATTATCATTAAGATTTATTTTAAAGAAAATATATCACAACTTAATGGCTATCTGTTTTTTATTAGGTGCCTATCCAAGACTATCATTGAGTTTTAAGTTGAAGAGGAATATTGGATATTTTATTCTTCAAACCTACATGCCCTCAATATTGATTACCATTTTATCATGGGTATCATTCTGGATAAATTATGATGCATCAGCAGCAAGAGTGGCTCTTGGTATGAAATGGGGATGAGTAGGACATTACTTCATTTGCACTATCAAATATCAATTTCTAGAATTTGCAACTTATTAATAGGTCAAGATCATTTATATAAATATTGTATTAATCTGGATTGATTCAGTAACGATTCATCTGAAATATATAACAATTTTTATAAAATCTGTTATTTGAACTCTCCAAATAGAGCTCAGTTTCCTTATTACTCTAGGAATGGTATGGAAGAACTGACTTTAGAGGAAAGTTGTGGTACCCTAAATTCAAATTTAAGGACACATAAATTTGAAGGAATAATGCAAAGATAGTGGTATAAAAAGGTTTATGTCTTCTTTTTCTTCCAATTCTAATAAGTTTTTCCCTTAGAGGCCTCTGATTTACTTGATGACACAATTGATGAAAGTCTGGGTAAGACCAAGTCCTTAAAGCCAGCATTGTGTGAGAAAGCTCCTCTCCATTTCTGTAAATGCTGGTCAAGGTGCCTCCAGGCATGGTAGCTTCTGGATTTATTATACCATAGGTTCAACTTACCCTGAAGGATACTCAGCATACATCAAGGGTATACAAGTTGGACAGCTTTTACACGTACAGAAGTATTGCTCAGAGCATCTGCCAGAGACACTAGTTTAAAAAACTTTTAGTATTCACTTTCTCAATTTGTGAGATTGCAAGCAGTATTCCAAGCTTCTCACTATTTTTAATAGTAATAATGCATGTACCTGGATCACATTCGAATACTACTTTTTGATTATATATTTCAGGAAAAAATGTTACAGCTATGAAGTCTTTCTGTGAGAGTTGTACTAGTACTCGAAACATTTCAGTTATTTTTCCAGGGAATCATGATTTCCCTAGGTTTTGTTAATTTCAAATATTTCTCTCTCTCTCTCTCTCTCTCTCTCTCTCTCTCTCTCTCTCTTCTCTTTTTCTCTCTCTCCTCTTTTTCTCTCTCTCCTCTTTTTCTCTCTTTCTTGCCCTGCAAGTGTTGGTGAGGGCTTTGTATCCTGTTAATCCCTGCTTATCTGGATGTTGGCTGCTGGAAGGGGATGTGTCCTGGACTTTTTTATTACTTCTTTCCTTTTTGTTACCTCTTTTCGTCTGTAAATATGGTTTATTTCTAAGTGTCTATTAATGGCTGATTAGTCTGAACATCAAGCTTAAAAGAATTCTCTGGAATTTTTGGATTTGGATTGGTCTAGGATACTCACAATTTCCCAATTGAAATTTTGATTGATTCTGTCCATGTGTGGTACAATTAAAAAGTTTTCATCATGTCTTCTGACTGCTAGTTAATCTTCATTGGTGGGCTCTGCTAATCTTCTGTCCTACATAGTGGCTGGTATGTAGATAACATCTTCAACATAATGAAAAAGGAACAACTAGAGAAAACTCACTAAACAATCAACTTCTTCAAAAGAATAAAATTCATAAGGAAAAAAGAAAACAACAACACACCACCCTTCTTGGATATCAGCAAAGGAGACAAGGTCAAATTAGAAATACAACTCTACTGAAAAACCACCCACAGCAATCAAATGCTCCACTACTTTCCCCAAAAGCAGCTGTGTTAAAACATTATTCAGATGAACACAAATGTATTGCAGTAACCCAGAACACCAGAAATAGGAAGCAACCACCTGTCAAATATCTTCCAACAAAACAATATCCATTCAATTTTATCAAAACGTACCTGATCATTGAACCCTACAGCACAACCAACACAAGCTATGAGAAAAATAACACATTAAAAGCATTAATACATTAAAAACATATCAGAAACAAGGCTACTACAACCACATAGCAGTACTGTAGCACACAAACCAACTAAACATCTTCAAAACATCTTAAGTGAACAAAAAGATCCAGTATCTCAAGAAGAAGAAGAATCTACAACATACAGTGTAAGGACTATAATAGTCACTGTTTGTTTGTAAAATTTATTGGCCACCCATCTTGCCTCAGAGTAACTCTGGGCAGCTTACAATCATAAAAGGTAAAAACTGTATAAGCTAAAAGATATGTAGGATTAGACAGGCAGAAGGCTAGCAGAGCACATCCATGAACATCAACTGGCAATCAGAATACATGATGAAAGTTCTTAATCTCACAACACATGGACAGACTTAACCACAGGGCATCAACACTGCCAGACATCCCACACGTACAATACTGATGATATTACCTAGCTGGGTAATGAAGCATCTGCATGCAAACAACCAAGCTCAGAGAGCACCAAGGACTCCACAGTTCAACTCTGAGCTACATATATTTTCTTCTATTAGAATGTTGTCTGTCTTGCAATTCTACTTAGTTTTTTTCACATCACTAGAAACTCCTGGAAATTGCTACAGAAATAAGTTAGGAAAATGATGCAAAAAAGATATTGATTCTTGTTTTTCTTTTTTTTAGGTATTACAACTGTGCTTACTATGACAACTATCAATACTCATCTCAGAGAGACTTTGCCTAAGATTCCATATGTCAAAGCCATTGATATGTATCTTATGGGCTGCTTTGTATTTGTCTTCTTGGCCTTACTTGAATATGCCTTTGTCAACTATATCTTCTTTGGAAAGGGCCCTCAAAGGCAGAAGAAACTTGCTGAAAAGACAGCTAAAGCAAACAATGATCGCTCTATGTTTGAAAGCAACCGGGTAGGATTTTTCATATCTTTTACAAGTCTGTCTTAGTTTCAGCTTCAAGGGATAGTTCCAATCAATGAAATTAAGTACTATTACCTTGCTAGTTGGATTGTATATTAGATTATACAGATAGCATAGCCATCAGCATCACTTTAGATTCATTACAGTTTATCAATATAAAATATATAGCATATACCAGAATGCAATAAGCACAAAAAATCCTAAAAAGGTGGCAAACTTGAAAATCATAATAGTGAAAAATAGTCATAGGAATTTGTCCTTTCATCATTGGTCTTAATGTAGTTTTCCTTCCTTCCTTCCTTCCTTCCTTCCTTCCTTCCTTCCTTCCTTCCTTCCTTCCTTCCTTCCTTCCTTCCTTCCTTCCTTCCTTCCTTCTTTCCAATTTTAAGCAATTGGGTTGATCACAGAATAAAAAGAAACAATAATGATAATAATATCGTTTTTTTAAAAAAATGAACAAGATGGTGAATCTTGAGAATTTTTCCCTTACGTTCTATGTTTCCTGAAGTTATAAAACTTCTTTTAACAAAAAGAAAAAAATATGTCAGAGAGACTAGTCCTGCTTGTCTTACATTACTTAGTACAGCAGAATAATAAACAGTCGAATTCCTTGACATTTTGTTTTTGCAATTGAATTTATAAGTATTACTATAATAACATTTGATAGGAAAGGACAGCTCTAAAAGTGGGAAATTTTAATATGCATTTTCATAGTTGACATTAATGCATACTAAGCCTTAAATATATTGTTAAAAATAATATTTCTCCAAGTAAAACATATATTTGAATGTATTCTAAAATTATACTTATTGCATTATTTGCATTATTTTAAGAAAAAATATTTACAATGTATATATTAAGAAAAAATATACAAAAATGTATATAAGGAGATCTGCAAATGATTTTTCTTGAACTTAAAAGGTGCAATTTAATGCAGACAAAAATGAGCTTGTTTTTTAAAAATGAGAACAAAATTCTTAAGATTCTTAAGAAATTAAAAGTTATATATAATATTAGTTTTAATTTATTCAGTAATGCTAACTATGTACCAACATTCATTTATTTACTAAATTGGTAAAAGAAGATGTAAAGAATATGAATATAAGAAAATGGGAAATTGGGAGACACTTACATCCAAAACATAAGCAGTAAAAAAACCATATATTTTGTATGTGAGTGAGCTTTACAATTTCCAAAACTACAAATTTTCTAATTTAAGATTGGAAATGCACTTGTGCATAAGCACACATAAGATCACTTATTTGCACACCATCTATATACCAATAAAATTCTCATGTCTGTAACCTTTAATTAGGCAAACTTGGAAGTTATAGGGCAACAATTATTTAATCAAATGGGTTAACTTACAGAATGAAGAAATGACATTTGGGAAAGTTGTGGCCACTTGAGCATCAGCATGCCTTCTGACTACACTTCCCAGGAGATCTTAATGAGGATTCTTGGTATGGTTTCAATAGGCTGCAGTGAAACACAGGGTGATTTTTTTTTCCTAAAAGGGGAAGAAGCTTTAACTCCACTGTGACTGGGTTTATAATTCGCACTATAGGGAAAGGTCCAAGGAACTTTGGTCCCAATTTTTTGCTAGGTAGTTTAAGTCTTAAATATTTTGTAGAGAGGTAAACATTTCTCCCCACATGAAATGACTTCTGGGGTGCCCTCCTCTTGTCTGCCTGCTCTTTGTAAACCTTTGAGGCTTTGGTTAGAGCCACTTTCGCATTGTCCCAAACGGTTTTCCAAGAAGTCACCCATTGATTTAAAGTCTGAGAAATTGGAGGGTCCTGAGGGAGTTCAAGCATGGGAATAAACTCCCTACCAGTGGCTATTTTAAAAGAAGTGAGTTCAGTGCTGCTAGGTACGGTGTTATTGTAATCCACCTCAGCAAAGGGGAGGAGGTCAGCCCAAGAAGTATGTTGGTAGTTCATGTAGCACCTAATATATTGCTCCACCTTAGAGTTAGCTTTTTCAGCAGGTCCATTAGTAGATGGATGAAAAGCTGATCCTGGCGCTTCCACTGAGCCCTGACAGTCCCGAAGAAGCGCCAATCAGCTGGAAAGCGGCACTGATCCTGGTGCTTCTGTTGAGCCCTGACAGCCCTGCAGCTCCAGCCGTCTGTCGCTCAGGCTTGTGCGGTGCTGCCACCAGTTCAGCTCATTCCCCTCCCCCACTTCCACTTTTCTAGGATAGCCGTGTACCACCTGCCAGGTGCCAATGTACCACAGGTGGTACCCGTACCACTGGTTGAAAAGCCCTGCTTTAAACCTATTGGTTGCCACCTAGAGGCTAACTGTATAAATAGCTGTGTAGCAGCCTTTAGGGCTGCTTCTGTTCTGAGTTAATAAACTTGTTGCTGTTTCAACACTCTGCCTCATTCAATGCCTAAAGAACTGAAGATATAACAAACTAATCTTATATTGTACAAAAGATCTAGCAAAATAGTTTGTCTTGCTAGTTGTTCTCAAAGTTTTCCTTGCTTTTAGTGTGAAAGAGTTTTGCAAAGCTATATATTTTTCTTTTTATTTCTTGTGTGATACCTTTTTACCTATTCATATCCCTCTTGGTATACTCTAGTGGATATTTCTAGCTTCTGCCAACAACAATAACTATTGCAATACTGATCCGAGATAAATCAAATGTGAGTTTTATTATCTTCACACATCTGGAATCTTAATTAATTCCATATTACTCCTATGTCTGTCCCCCCATTCTAATTTTCTCAATATTATGTGCTGTTTGATGAGAAGGAGAAATGAAGTTTAAGTACAACAGTTGCTTTCCTAATTGGTTCTGTGTTAAAATGTTGAAACTGAAAAACATTATGTGTTTATTAACCAGCACCAAGGAAATCAATCTACATTAGAACCATAAAGACAGTACAATTTGGATTTATTAATAAGGCTGAATAAGGTTTGGCCATTAATGGAATACAATTCACACTTACATGTTTTTCTCCTAAAAAGAACTGGAGGAACACATTTAATCTAATCACAGGAATGAGGTCAGTCTTACTGTAGATATTGGTGATAATATGGGAGAGAGACAATTTTTTAAAAAAAAAAACAACAGGTCTCTTTCGAAGATCTTAAAATATAGGTAGATGCTTAAAGTTTTTAAAATATGTAACTTCAGTTTCTTGATATCTAAAAGTGAGAAAGAAACACTATATTTCATTATATTTTTCACCAGAAAAATACAAATTGAAAATATAATTCAATCTCAGTCTTCATAACCATATAATTTCACAAAAATGTTGTTAACATAAGAAACAACCCCATCCTCCAGATTTCATTCTCTATTTTCTTTATTTTCAGACTAATATAGCTGCACAAATAATAATTTCTGTGAAATATGGTAGTGAAAGCAATTGTACTTTCGTGAACTCAAGTAAACTCAAGTATTTCAGTTTGCTTTAAATAGTGCTACTAGAGATAAAAGGCATGAATTCATACCCCTCCCCTAGTATGCAAATGTAAATTGAAGCAACAAAGATAATAATGTAACAATGACTGAGATCTTCAGTAATTAGGTACCAATAGCAAGTTTAGTGGCATGAAGAAAAACAAAAAAAGGAAGATGTATGATTGCTGATATAAGATGGAAAAATACTGCATTTGTTTCGATTTGTTTTATTTTTATGCTCTTTTAAAATAATCCAGTTTATTTTTATGAATATTTATCTGGATATAAATAATTTCTGAATATGATATATATTTGATTTATTAAATTCATTATTAATTATCAATTTGCTTCTAATTAGGTGGATATGCACGGGAACATATTGTTAACATCCCTTGAAATTCACAATGAAGTTGCAAGCAATGAAGTTACAACAAGTGTCACCGATCCACAGAATTCAGCAGTATCTTTTGATAACTCAGGAATCCAGTATAGAAAGCAGAGTTCCCACCGAGAAACTCTTGGGAGACGTACATTAGATAGAACTGGCACTCACACTAAGAAGAGTCATTTACGGAGAAGATCTTCTCAGCTAAAAATAAAAATTCCTGATCTAACAGATGTGAATGCAATTGATAGATGGTCAAGGATGGTGTTTCCTTTCACATTTTCTCTTTTCAACTTAATCTACTGGCTATACTATGTCAACTAAATTGACTTTTACTTCATTTTTTTTAACAAAAAGACTGTAACAAGCAAATACTATTTTGCCTGTTATTTTGTATATGTACAGAAGACATTTTACACTATATATATATATATAT